TCTTTCCCCTGTGGCCACAGACCCACGTTTCGTTCACATGTCTGCACTAATAGACTCAGTTCTGTTGATTTAAGTGCCATTTGTTCGATCGACTTCAAGAACATACCTTCCAGTCCACAAGGAAAGGCGCTGTGTTTAGGGGGGTCGTTAATCTTTTGGATGATTTCTAACTCATCTCCGACTGGTATGTTTGAGCAAACAGATACGTTAAAGTCTACCATAATCGTTTCCGGTCTAATGAGTGTTTCATTCACATTTTCTTTGAACTCCCTAGAGTTGAGAACGCAACGACGGTTGGTTGAGTTAGAGTACTTCTTCAGAATGGGGCCAAAACTTACTGAGAGGTAACTGGTTGACCTAGGCGTTTGTTTTTATGAGCGGTGTTTCCGTTTTGTGTATGTTAGGTCTCTCGTTGAAGCATGAGTTCCAGCATCCGTCGACTTATGGTCTGAAAAGGTACGAACCCTTCTTTATTCTGGCTTGGTCGTTGCTGGCTTTCCTGAGCATCCAATTAGACAATCGATAGATTTGCGTAGCCGTGTTCCTTCTGTGATTCCGACAGATCTCCTAGTACGTTGAATCATCTTCTTGGAGACCTTGAATTTTCGCCTCGTATTTCATCAACTTCATTGCCACTGTACAATTGTCCTTCTCTTCCGCTACAACCATCCGTTTATCGTTTTTTAAAATTCTTTCAGCGATTTTATCATTTTCCTTTGTGGATTTATTCTCTTTGTTCTTGTAGCGATTGAAATTTCTGAACGATGCTGGTGACGTGGTGTGTGATTTAAAAGTATTTTTCATGGCGTAGTCTGCATGGTCCAAGAGCGTACTGCACACCAAGCATTATGCTATCTACCGATGACTTTTTCGAGATAGGGGAAGGGAGGAGTTTGGTCAAGAACTCAAACTTCTGCTTCCTTATATGTGAAGACGATAATGCTTAGATTCGTCACTAGCGCCAAGAATCTCTATGTTGAGCCTGTGTTGGGTCAGGTGGTATTGGGCATACGAATCCCTACGAGCATGTCCAGTCCTTAGGAATATTTTTTTCCAGTTTCCCTGTTGAACTATTTCTTTCCATCTAGAAATTTGAGGGAGTGTTGGACGAAAGTCCGCTGAGGATGTTTGATCTGACGATTTTGTCTCTCGTTTCAGTTCTCTAGCGATTTGCTGACCCTCCAAATGCATTCTGATGGAGCTCTCTGCAGGGTGCACTTCGTGTGTTGCTGTTGCGAGTGTCTTGACAATGTCGCCACGGGTTCAGTTTCCTTAATTTTGCGTCTTTTAATGAAACCCTTCTCCGCATGTTTCTCCGGATATTGCTGGGCATCCACATTAGCGGAGAGTGAACGACCACGTTCTTCTGCCATATGTTTATTCTATCAAAAATCATATAGTGTGCGCTACATATATTGAGGTGATTGGTGTCCGTTTAGTGGTTACAGGTGCCAAGATTGACCAAATAGTATGGTTATCTATTAGTTGCATGAATCTCCACTGTTACATCCTCCCACCCTGTGAATAGGGTTCGAAAGGCCAGAGGATATAGAAAAAATTTCAGCCCCAAACGCAGCATTGTTCAGAACGTGACTGGACTATCAAAATAGGTGGTCCCGGTACTTGCGAGCAGACAGGAGAATTCTCATCTATCCTCGTTTAGTTGTGCTTCAGATATTATCTAATATATATACTCACCAGGAATTTAACTCATCTAATTAAATATCATGCACAGCAATGACTAACAATGAGGGTTCACCTGTGCTGGAGTCGAGTAACAGAAATATAGGGCCCAAAAGCAAAATCAACAGGCAGGAAGAAACTTACAAAATCAGTCAAGCATACTTTCCACTATTACATAATTAAATTCTGAATAAATGTGCGCCATTTGAACTCACATCTACCATTATACACTCACCACCATATTTTTGCTACCTTGCACTAAAACTCAAACATTCAAATATGCATCAGGGAAAAGCAAAGATGCCGATACCAAAACGCAGCTTCTCTTCCGAACAATGACTTTTCCGGAACCCATTCAGGATAATTTGCAAAAATCCTAATATCCATAAGTCATAGTCTGCCAGTATTGTTTTGCAAACCAAAAATATTCGATTGAACCTTACCCTAAACGTTTTCAGAATAACAACTTTGTAACTGCGATGGTCGACTTTCCAACAATATTGTAGGGTGGCTTGAGCAATTAGCCGGTACAAGTCACAAGTCTATCTATATTGTGCCTGACATCTTCGGTAACAGTTGAATGAGTCGCTGATTATCGCCCAAAAGAGTTCACAATCTATTCGATAAACAATCTCAAACGGCAATTCCATTTTTACCGGTCTCAAACTCGGTTTACAAAGGAGGAGGGTTGAAGATTGTGGAGAAGTTTCCGTAAAATTAAGCAACCTGTCATTCATGGTATTGGCGCAATCTAAAGTTATACTCGTCGACCGCGTTACCAAGGGCCGTGCAGGCTCTT